CACTTTTCCTGAAGATAGAAGAGTTTGTTGAATCTGACGTGACATGTTCGTACGAACCCTTTGTACGAACAAAAGTAAGAGAAATTTAGGAGAAGAATACGAACATGTTCTTGCATGTGGCCCATTGTCCTGCTGGAAGGTCCAGGTATGAGGGAAGAAGGTTCTGGAAAAACAGGCCCAAACCATAATGTTTCCACCTCTGTGCCTGACTGTGGGTCACACTCAGCCTCTCTTCTTTCAAACTTGGCAGGTCGGGTTGAATCCAAAGAGCTGTGGTTGGCTTGAAAATGATCAAATACTTCATTTATTCCACGATATACAAAATAATTAGTAACTTTTTATGTATTATGTTGTTTTATATTTAATTGATATAATTGACATTATGATTCTCTCCATTAAAAAAACATTATAAAACTGTAGAACATTTTCATAAGTGAGCAAAATTTACAGAATCAGCAAAAAACAAGGATTATTTCCTCCATTGTACATAAAAATCCTCCTCATCACATCACTGCTGTTCCTGATAAAAGTCAACAGTTCATCCAGGAAGTAAAACAACCTCTGAAAGCCCTCAATTAAAAAGTGAAAAATTTTAAAAAGCACCAAGAGTAAAACGTCGCTCTGTCCCAGAATGCACTGGGACGGCTATGGAACAGGCGAGTGATCTGTCACAGGGTTAACAGCAGTGTGGTGTCATCGTACGACTAAAGCCAACACCAGATTACTGAGTGTTTCAATCATTTGTGTGTCCTCACTGTGATGCTGCTCGCTAACATCACCTGAAACACAACGACACAACCCATCTGACAAAGAGTTTGATGACTAAACTCAGTCACAGACAGGAGCGACTCGTTTCTGGAAGACGGCTGAGATTCCAAAACTGACGACATTTTCCCTTCAACATCCAAAACAAAAAGACGGCCGGCACTTTGCTGGTGCTTCTCCTCAATAACTGTGCTGACAGACCTAAAAAAGTAGAAAAGCTGAAGGTTTTAGGCACTTTTCTCATCAACAGCACAAAGAACAATTAAAGGCTGCAGCTTGAATTTGGTGTAAAGTCCCTCCATTTTTTTTCTTCTTTTTAAACATTTGACGCAATGTTTTACATTCGATGTTTACGACCAAGAGTACGAGCCACCGTTCGAAGGGGATTTACAAAAAAAAACTTTTTAAAAACATCGATTAAAAACCCTGCAGAGACGGCCTTTTAGTCCCCCAGTAGAAGCAGAGGCACTGAGGTCCGATTTTTCTCTTTTTACAGCACTTTTATGTTATTTGAAAGATTAATTTGTGCTACAATGTGTTAAAATCAGATTCTACCTTCATTGCTACATTGCACATAAAGAAAACATGAGTAAAGGACGCTGATTTAGTCAGAAATTCAACAATTATTTACAGACAGAAAAAAAAAGTTTCTTCTCATTCACAGAGAAATAGTTTGATATTTCTTTTAGGCTCTTAGAAATGAGTATGAGAGAAAAAAAAGAGCTTCTGAAAGTTGTTAGTGCATCTATTTTTCCTTTTTGTTATCATTTGAAATACAATATAAATTTATGGTAAATCAATAAACGGTCTCTGTACAAAAGGGACTTAATCAGAATGCATCATTAGACTTCATATCTACACATCTGAAAGCTCATTTTAGTTTTATTTCTTTTAAACAGTGTTCAATACTCAGTGCTGCGTTACTGAAGTCAGATTCCTGTGGCGCTGCGGTGAGTCGGGACGCTTCGAAAGCGTTCCGAGGCTCGTTTATTGGGACGCAGAGTGGGGTACGAGGGGGGCGGGGTCACCTCAGCAATCTGCCATGTAGCGCCCTGAAGACAAAACCTGCACTTAGCACTGAGAACAAGCTGAAGCAGGAGATGGAAACGGAGCGTTACAAACCTGTGGCAAATCTTTTCTTGTTGAGGGAAAGTCTGTATCTGGTCCCCTGCAGCTCCATGTCCACTCCTGACAGCGTGCTGCTCTCGTTCATGAACTGCACCGCCAGCGTGGACGGGTTCGAGGGTCCGCTGGAGAGGTCGAACTTGGCTCTGAGAGAGCCGGCGCCTGGAATCAAACACAAACACATTTTTTATTAATGCTACTTGTAGCAACTCCAGCCATCTGGAACAAGGCCATTTAAAGGACAACTTAAAGACCGTGTAAAGTAAAAATAAATGTGTTCTGAGGTTGTCACACCACAGAAATATGTGTTAAAAAAATCACCCAGCCAAGTCTGAACAATTAAAAATACTGTTAACCTTATAAAATTATGTGTTAAAAGTAAAAATATCAGATAGCTGTGATCTAGAATGCTGGGGGCGTGTCCACTGGAGGAGCTTAAACCACGCCCACGATCCTGAACGTTTCTGTAACCGAGGAAACAATGTTTTCTTTTCCAAGAGAGCAACAGGGGGCGGGGTTACACTGAAGGCAGCTGCGTGACATCACGAGGCTGCCCTTTAAGACACGCCCAAAAAATCCTGAAACACAGATACCTTGTTACACAAACTGAATCATATCTCCACTATTCAAGTATCTACAGTTGAGATCATTTGTACTCATTTACAACAATCCATTTATGACATTTATAATGTTTAAAAAAGAAAATGTTACATTTTACTTTACACGATCTTTAATAAAAGAAAAAAATATATAAAATTGTCAAAGCTTAAATTATGATTCTTTGTACACCACCAGAGTTTTTAAAACAGCCTGAGTTGTTTGGTGTTGCAGACAGCAGATAAACTGTGCAGACTTCACTGATAAACACGATCTTATGAGACAAAGATTCACATTAGTTTTAATAAATCTAATATGAGCTTTAAGTTAAAAGTCAGAAAAAAACACCAAAATGTTTGACCTCATCATCTACTTTTTGAGTTTCCTTCCAATCATCAAGAAGTGGGTCTCTGCATTCACCTCAGTGGAAGTTTCTTGGTGTGTGGGAGAAGTTTGTCAAAGACCTGATTGGTCAGTTTGACTGTTGTGGGAGGAGTTTGGTAAGGATGTAATTGGTCGGACTGACTATGTTGGGTGGAGTTTGAAGAAGTTATAACGATTGGAGTGGATGGTCAGCTGGGGGCACGTGTAACTCAGTACAAACGGCCAGAAAGCACACATATTTTAAATCTAAAGGTTTATTTTAATAAGTATTAATATTAATACTAACTTCAGACAAGAAGGTGCTAGCTGCATGAAATTTGAACACCGTGCATGTGGAGGGATGTGTAATAATCCAGCTTGGCCAAAACAGCCCTGACCCCACAGGAAAAAGATTGTTTTATTTTATATGAATAGTAATTATTATTAGTCATAAGTTGAAATAGTAAGGTGGAAGTTGCATCAAATTTGAAGTAAAAAAAGTTTACATATTCACAATTAGGGCTGCCACAAACGATTATTTTAATAATCGATTAATCACCGATTATTTATTCGATTAGTCGACTAAATCAGATCATATGTTAATTGAATATAAAACATAGAGCTTATCACGTCAGAATGCAGCTGCTATTATATAACCATGGTTAGATTTTAGCTATATGCTAACTAAAAATAATTGCTGTGGAAGGTAAGTTCTGCTCTGCAGATATTACACAGGTTTCTCTTTCATTTTCTTCAAATGATCCCACACTTTGAGCTCTGTTGTCAGGTAGCCATGATACCAGAGCCTGTCTGTATAATGTCTTGTGACGTCCACGGCCTACCCCAGTTACCACTACTGTGCATGTGTGTCAAGGACAGAAAGGCAGATGTGGCAGTGGAAGGTGTCAAAGCAGTTTGGAGACAAAAACAAAGTAAAGAACAACAACAACAAAAAAAAGAAAATGATTAATCGATTATTAACTTAGTCATCGATTATTTTAATAATCGATTAGTCATCGATTAATCGTGGCAGCCCTATACACAATAATTTTTATTTGAGACAAAATGATGTTTTTCTTCTTATTCTTCTGTTGACTGTAAATAAATTATATGTACATGCTCACAATAGTAATTCTATTACAACTATTTCATCTTTTAACAAGTCAATCCAACTAGTCATGGTTTTGCTAAACTCCGCCCACACCAAGAAACTCTGTCTATATATTACAGAGACTCCTACCTGCAATCATCAATAGTTAAAGTCTAACCAACTTAGGTGCTGTTCAGTCCTGCCCTCTCATCTGTTTTTATTGATTTGATTACATTTGGAAAGCAGACGCTGTAAAAATGGTCATAATGTCCGGACCCATTTTATCAGATTAGGTTTAGAAATCTGAACCCAGTCTGTCCTGAGCCATGAATGGATGATTAACAGGCTTCTACAGAATTTGAAGAGGTAACTAAATCACTGAATCAGGTGTGTTGGATCAGAGAAACAAGAAAAACATGCAGGATAGCAGACACCCTGCTTTAGAGACCAAAAAAAAAAAAAGATGTATAAACATCTGAGACACTCTGACCATTTGTCTGTTCAGTAAATCTGCAGTCTGTTGTGGAGATTGTGTATATTTCTTATTTCCTTGTTTTCATGTTTTTAAATGTCTTGAATTAAGTTCTTTGTTTACTTCAGATCATCAAACTTTCATTGTAAATAACTTTCTTATAAATAAAACTAGTATAAGGACTCCTCACCTTCATTTTCAGATTTATCTGAGATGTCGCTGAGCTTCCAGAGACATTTATTCTGCTCTGAATTCCTACAAAGAGACAATAAAAAACAATCCTTTAAACTCTTACAGGAGTGAAATGCCTGTTAGTGTTCGTCTTCCCTCGTGTCGTACCATAGAGCGTTAGGCAGAGACTGCATGCTGGTCACTCCGCCGTCAACGGGCACTAAGACCTGAACGTTGGTGAGGGGGCCAGAAGAGGCCATGGATCCAGAGTTGTACCTGTAGTCCACCCGCAGGTCCGTTGTGCTCGGGGTACAGTTCCAGTACACAGCCAGGTTAAGAGGAGTTGAATGGATACCATTGGACTGCACCTGAACACAACCCAATAGTTTCCCAACATCAGCCTAAAACAAATAGATCACTGATGTCCTCCTGTCGCTGAGGGGTTTCACTGACGAATGTTTGTAGTTTTACAGATGACTGTTTTTCTGGACCGAGTCGGACAGTGAATGTAAGTAAACCTTAAAGGGGCAATATCATGTAAAGTCAACTTTTTTGAGTTTTATATCATGTCATAATGTTATCCTCTCATAAAAACATGTCCAAAGCCTTGCTCTGACTCATTCATCATGTTTGAGAAATCCTGCGGTTTTTATGAAGCCATGCTGAGGAGCAAAACGACAGGTGGGGACCAGAAACACCT